CGAGAGAGAGAGAGAAAGAGAGAGAGCGAGAGAGAGAGAGAAAGAGAGAGAGCGAGAGAGAGAGAGAGAGAGAGACCCCGATCAGAGGGAGATATGTTGGGGGCATAGAAATGGGGTGAGAGACAGATTAAATTTATTTTCCTGTTGATAAAGAAGGCATGACCACGCCAGCGCGTGTTACAATCGACTTGCTATTGTACATGCGATATACACACACATTAATCGAAAACGACATTAATCCCACTTTTTGAACAAATGAAGACAAGTTAAATACAATAAAGGTTTATCAGCTATGAACAACTAAATTTGCGTCTATCCGGTTCTTAAACGTGGAATCGGCGTTCACCACATTGCAACTTGGAAAGCTTGTACGACTGACTGTCCGTCGCAGCCTATAAGCAGCTTAGCAACGACTGTGTGCCACGTACAAGCGAGCACGCAGCAACTTGCAAATCAATCAATCGATCGATTTGGCTCGACCGCGTAGCTGATATGGCACACGTTCGAGGCGCGCTTTTCAACACCTCCTATTTACAATAGTAGTGGGTCATCATCGTCAATCAATTATGTTGTTTGGTGTCGTACATCGTCTAATGGGCACTCAGGACACTTTGCAGATTGTACGACTGTGTGTTCCGCACAAATATTCGAATTACTCTTGTTTGCTTCATTGATCGACGGCGCGGCTGCGCGTACTAAGATACAATGGTGGATGGATTTTCACAGCGCCCAGAATAAATAGGCACATCTTAGCTAATTCTCGTATTTATGAGGATTTCTCAAGTGCTCGTTAGAGAAAAAGGCCAAAGTTTGCTGAGTAAATCATAGAAGAAAATATAACTATTTATACACGCAACAGAGATCTATGTAAATACTAGCGAACTATTAGTGGAAGCGATAAAGTCAGATGAGAAAAAGAAAACGCTTAATGTTGGCGAGTTTTCATAAGGTATGCTGTATTTCGCGTCGTTTTCGCTGAGAGTCAGCACGCAATCTTGGATGCACGATCTCAAAATCATTCTCTATAGCAGTGGCAGTAGTAGAATTAGCAACGGTGACTTTATTGCATACTTCACATATACAATTTATATGTCGACATTATATTTATATATATATATTTATTTATTTCTAAACAATGCTCTTAGATCAATCACATCTATGTTTTATCTGCGATATTAGGTTGTGATATTAGACCTGTCGCGCCGCTCCTAGTCCACTACGGCTGCTAATTGCAAGGAAGCGCCTATATGGCCTAGACCTAACGCGTCTGTCTGCTCAGTGATATTGCGTACACGTTTACTTCCACAGATAATACTACTTCAACAGGTACCTCACGCCAGACGAACCCAATCATACTGCAACGTGCATACATATATATATAAATATATATATATATATATATATATATATGCATGCAATTACCGGTTAACCATCATTGTTTCATCGTTAATGTTTGCTCAGATGGAATTGCCGCACGTTAGCTCAATTGAATCTCGTGCCGAAGGCCATTTCTATTACGTAACGGCATTGGACTATTTTTACTAATAACTTGAGCAATTTCAACAGCCGCATTTGCCTACGCCCGATGGCCGTAAGGCATTCACGGCAACAACGACGACGATGGCGACGACTACGATGACGATGTCAGCGTCAGCATGTGGGAAATTAACTAACAACATCGGACGCTTAAGTCTTCCGTTACTATAACTATTTAAATTTTTTTTAATGAGAATGACGTCCACGTAAGTATACACACCGCCACGGAGGTTTCTCCATTTGCTGCACACTCTGTCCACGGATGCAAGCTATAACTCCGATGATAATGATACACCAGTGCAACCAATCCATCTTGTAAATCGCACAGCAGCTGTTCCATCGTAACGTTGCACACCTGAATCAGAGTCAAAGAACGTCACTCATCATTTTGAAAAAAAACAGCTTTTTGTAACTAAAGTGCACGAGGTGCAAATCGATTACGTTTTACATATCCATACGTACACTACTAAGTCTATTCGATACATCCTAATCAATTATCGGAAGTGTTTATGTATATATATATATATAAATCAGAAATGACTTCGATTAAAACGTTCATTTAGGCAAAGTGAGTTTTAACTGCTCTTAATTGATTGTACTAATAATTGCGATGTGTGATTTAAGTATCATTAGACACGATTTATCACCATTCAACACGAGTCACTCATACATTAAGTAATTTTCCCCCTTATTCATAATATGATTTCCATTGAATAATACACGTATTATTTACTTACTAAATACAGCGCCTAGCAAGAATGGAGTCAAATTTTAGATTTTTGCAAGTCTCTGTTTAACTTGAATAATATTTTACTATCATTTTTAATGCCAGTAATAAAATAACGTTAAGAAATCTAAAGGTTTTGTGAATAACTAAAAATATAATTAATTTAGGTAACACGTAGGAATATTGTAAATATATCCTAGACGAACACTGTGCAATCAACACAGTTATTATTTAATTTTTCGAATGACAACGAAATCGTTAAATGGCGGAACTTAATTTAAACCGGTAAACATCAGTAATAAGCCAGTTCGTAGTTAGCCAAGGGGTTATGTGACGTCCTAGGCCACCGGCGTGCGCTTTCGGTTCAGTACGTATATGTACATGTATTCTGTGTACGTGTATGGCAGGCGAGAAGAGACATAAATGATATTTAATGACCGTCATTAAATCGATTTATGTACCGTCATTAAATCATTTATGTACCGTCATTAAATCAACCAATCAGATGCAACTTATTTGTGCTCAGCCAATCACAAACATGAAATTATGTACCGTCATAAAAATCGATTATTAGCGTATTAAATCGATTTATGTAGCGTCATTAAATCCATTATAGTACCCAGTCATTAAAATCAAACCAAGTTGCGAGAAGAACAATAAACTACCTTCCGTACATAAATTCGAAACCAATCACAGCAGCACGAATACATCCGCCAGGGCGGCCGCAGCTATTTCCGGTACATAATTCGCCGCGCTTGTGCCCGGCCATCATTCGCTACTAACTTCTTAAACGTTTCGAATAAGCCAGATTCGAAAGGGGGTGTGCTATCCACGCCGGCGTGGAGGAGAGGTCCGTGATAACGTTGACGATGACGTTCAACAACGTTAACACCTAACGGTAACACTCACTCCAACACCGCCAACAGCTGAACCCTCACACTGAAATATATATGTCTCGCTCGGTGCCGCGCTAATAATAGGCATTGTCGATCCACAAAAATTAATCTTGGTGTGTGCGACAGAATATCATGATGCAAAAACCTTAACGCCGAAACACCCAATCCTAACCCTAACCTAACCCCTAACCCTAACCCTAACTAACCCTAACCGCTAACCCTAATCCTAACGCCTAACCCTGAACTCTAACCCTGACGCCTAATCGCCCTAATCCTAACACTATCCCCAACGACTAGTGCTGCGCGACGTTGCGGTCACCGCAGTCCCTCCACGCAAGGCCCGGGGGAATAGCGATACCCCATGACGGAAAGGGTGTCCGCGCGCCCATAATTTCGAGGTCAAGACCAAAGTGAGCAAGGGCATAA